GACCGAAAACAGAGAAATTGAAAACCGAGAAACTGAAAACCCAGAAACTGAAAACTAAGACAATGAAAAACTAAGAACCTGAAAAACAAAGAAACTGAAAAACTAAGAAACCGAGAAATTAAGAAACTGAGAAACTGGGAAAGTGAGAAACTAAGAAACTGAGAATCTGGACCCTGAATGTCTGGAAACTAAGAATCTGGAAACCGATAATCTAGAAACTGAGAGTCTGGAAACTGAAAATCTCAGAAACTTAAACTAGGAGACTGAAAGCAGAGAGTGAAAACTGAAAAACTGAAAACCAAGAGACTCAAAACCGAGACTGAAAACCAAGAGTCTGAAAACAGAGGAATTGAATACCGAAAAACTGAAAATTGAGAAACTAAGAAACTGAGAAACTAAGAAACTTAGAAATTGAGAATTAGAAAAATGGAAACTAAAAACTGAGAACACGAGAAACCGAGAAACCGAGACTCTGAGAAACTTAAAACTGAGAAAGTGAAAACCGAGAGATTGAAAAAACTGAGAAACTCAAAACCAAGGAACTGAAAACAAAAAAATTGAAAACCGAGAAACTGAAAACTGGGGAACTGAGAAATTGAAAACTGGGAAATTGAAAACTGAGAAACTGAAAAGCTAGAAACTGAAAAGCTAGAAACTGAAAACCGATAAACTGAAAACCGAAAAGCTGAAAACCGAGAAGCTGAAAAGAGAGAAATTGAAAAGCGAGAAACTAGGAAACTGAGAAACTGACAAACTGAGAAACCAAGAAACCGAGAAACCGAGAAATCGAGAAACCGAGAAACCGAGAAACTGAGAAACTGAGAAACTGAGAAACTGAGAAACTGAGAAACTGAGAAACTAAGAAACTGGGAATCTGAGAAACTGAAAACTAAGAGATTGAAAACTGAAAGACCGAAAACCGAGTGTTTTAAAACAGAGAGACTGAAAACAGAGGAATTGAAAACTGGGAAACCGAAAACTGAGAAACTTAAAACTAAGAGATTGAAAACTGAGAGATTGAAAATCGAGAGACTGAAAGCTGAGAGACTGAAAACTGGGAGATTGGAAACCGAGAGACTGGAAACAGAGAAATTGAAAACTGAGAACCCGAGAACCAGAAAACCGAGAATCTATGAAACTGAAAATTGAAAAACTGAAAACTGAGAAATAGAAAACTGAGAAATTGAAAACTCATAAATTGAAAACTCATAAATTGAAAACCGAGAAACTGAAAACCGCGAAACTGAAAATCGAGAAATTGAAATCTGAGAAACTGTAAACTCAGAAACCGAAAACCGAGAAACTGAAAACTAAGAAAGTGAAAACCGAGAGATTGAAAAAACTGAGAAACTGAAAACCAAGGAACTGAAAACAAAAAAATTGAAAACTGAGAAACTGAAAACTGGGGAACTGAGAAATTGAAAACTGAGAAATTGAAAACTGCGAAATTGAAAACTGAGAAACTGAAAAGTTAGAAACTGAAAAGTTAGAAACTGAAAACCGATAAACTGAAAACCGATAAACTGAAAACCGAGAAGCTGAAAACCGAGAAGCTGAAAAGAGAGAAATTGAAAAGCGAGAAACTGAGAAACTAGGAAACTGAGAAACTGAGGAACTGAGAAACTGGGAAACTGAGAAACTGAGAAACCGAGAAACTGAGAAACTGGGAATCTGAGAAACTGAAAACTAAGAGACTGAAAACCGAAAGACCGAAAACCGAGTGATTGAAAACAGAGAGACTGAAAACAGAGGAATTGAAAACTGAGAACCCGAGAACCAGAAAACCGAGAATCTATGAAACTGAAAATTGAAAAACTGAAAACTGAGAAATAGAAAACCGAGAAACTGAAAACTCAGAAACTGAAAACTGGAATCTGAAAACCGAGAAACTGAAAACTGCTAACTCAGAAATTGAAAACTCACAAACCGAAAACTGAGAAACCGAAAACTGAGAAACTGAAAATAGAGAAATTGAAAACTGAGAACAGACAGAGACAAATGGACCGAAAGATAGGGAGACACAAAAAAATAAAGCTAGAGAAAAGCAGAGATACCAGGAGAAAGAGGGGGGGAGGTTAGGTACGGAAATACAGAGTTGCAGAGATAAAGATACTGAGCAAAAGAAAATCTGCGAAACAGAGATAAAGATAAAAAGGGAAACAGAGAAACATTGAGAGAAACAGAGAAACTGAGAAACCGAGAAACCGAGTAATTAACATATAAATTAACAGAGAAACATACAAGCAGACATATAATAATAATAATAATAATAATAATAGATATATATTTGCCAAACAGCATAAGCCACAAGTAGGCAAAAGAAAAAAAATACAAAATACATATATAAAAAACAATAAACAAATAAGTGTACAGATGCGCACAAAAACATATAGAAAAATATATAAACTAATTAGATAAAGATAAACTATTTTTTGCTAAACTCGAGAACAGCTTTACCTAGAATACATTTTAAGGAATCGAAGTTAAGGTCACAATCTTTCGCAAATATATTAAAGTTGGAGCAAGCAACCGTGATAGGCGATCTCTTTAGGGCATTACTTCTATTAAAGGTGCAATAAAACGTGCGACTACTTCTACTCGATAAACGAGGCACATAAAAATTAAGATAATCTAAAAGCAGGGGACAGTCAATATAAAAATTATTTAACTTATATACAAAATTAATGGATGATAAGACCCTCCTTGTTTCAAGTGACAATACTCCAAAGATAGACAAAAGGATGGAATGCTCAAAGTGTCTATGAGGGTAATAACCAAAACGTTGGCGATAAAGAAATTTCAGAAATTTACGTTGGATACGCTCTATCCCTTTAACCATATAGGAGTACACAGGATACCAAATTAGAGAGCAATACTCGAGTTTAGAACGCACCAAAGCGTAATATAGGGTCTTCAAACTATCGTTTCTATTTCTAAAATCAGAACAATTTCTGTAAATGAAGCCTAAAACACGGCATGATTCCTTAATTTTAATCGTAATATGTTCCCTGAAGGTAAATTCAGTATCAAATGTCACACCTAAGTCAGTAGTTTTCGAGCAACGTTGTATTAAGTCATTATTAATGCTATAGTCAAACTGAGTAATCTGCCTTTTACGACTGTAAGATATCACCTTGCATTTACCAATGTTCAGAAACAGACAATTCTCGCAACACCAGTTATAAACTTTATCTAAATCATGTTGAAGATTTAAGCAATCGCTAAAACAATCAATTTTGGCGTATAATTTCAAGTCGTCTGCGTAGAACAATCTGTTACTATCCATTATGTCACTAAGGTCATTGATAAACAGTAGAAACAACAGGGGCCCTAAGTTGGATCCCTGTGGTACACCAGACGTGGCGAAAAATGGCAAGGATCTACTCTGTTGATAAACAACTACTTGCTCTCTTTCAGAAAGATACGATAGAAACAGATTACACAGTCCTCCCGAAAACCCAAAGTGATCTAATTTCTTAATGAGTATAGAGACGAGAATGACATATAGAGAAACGAAAAAATATCGGAAGAGAAACAGAGAAAAAAGTAAAAAAACAAGAGACAGAGACATATAGACACACAGACACAGAGATACAGAAAGACTGAGAAACGGAAAAACAGAAATACACAGCGAATATGAAAAACAGAGAAGCAGAGAAATAAAGATACGGAGATACGGAGATACAGAGAAGAAGAGAAAAACAAACTAAAAACACAGAGAAACAGAGCACTTAATAGATTGTTTCACAGACCTTCTACGGCCTCTGAAATTATCGATTATTATTTAAATGTTCTAACGTTTTGTCAGTTAAATTAGTAATGCTAAACAGAGTACACTAATTAAAGTTTACTCCAAATAGTAACATTTTCGGTGGCACAATATCGGCTACTTTCTAATTTTTTATATTTTCTTGGGTCAAACACTAATAATTTTGTACAATGTAAATATATTTTTAAATTGAATAAAAGCATGAAATCAAAACGCACTTAACTTAAGAATTTTTGATTAATATTGGTAGATTATAGTATCTTTGAAGAAATGTAGTTTTTTAAATTAATATGATTAGAATTTGCGAAATCGGAAATTTTGTAACATTGCACATTTATACTAGAAAAAAAAAAAACAAACAAGACACAATGTTTACTTGATCCTATACAAAAAATATGAATAGCAGCTGACCTAATACAAATAAATAAATAGTGCCATGTTTTATTTATTTGAATTCAGACATGCACCGCTACGTCTAAAATATGCAACATGTAACAACAATGAACTCAATACAAAACTCATAAATAAATGCATCTATTAACGCAAAGGTTTCACGACTGTGAGCAACACGGATATTGACACAAAGTGACGAAACAGTAAAGGACCTAACATGGATCTCGACCGTATCCGACAGTCCGCATAAGCGGGTAGATTGAACTTTAGAACACGTCGAATGCATTTCTCGATTACATAAACACCGAAGGGATCAAATTTGAAAGTATAGATATGGGAAACCGTCAAAGAGAATGCCGTCAGACGTTTTAAAAATAAACGAAGCATTGTTAAGATTTCACTATTCAAATCGCACACCGACGGTATTTTATTTATCTTATTTTGACCGCCAAACTTCACTTCGCCCCGAACCAACGTAACAAATTACCCAATCAGGAAAACCGATCGCATTAAATCGATTTTCCTAATCTCCTACATCCTCTCTATTTCCTAGTATCTTCGACTTTTCAATTTCCTGCCCGTTTTAATTGGCCACGCGAGTCATTTTCCGACTTAATGCTGCTTCCTGTTCCTTCGTTCAAGTCTTGCTGATAGTGCACCATACGGTTCTTCCGAAGCATGAACGTGCACTGTGACCAAGTGAACGCGACAGCCTCGGAGGGGGAGCGTCGGGCAGCCTTTGCAGAAGGAGAAAGGCCGTTGCTGGCCAGCAGGTGAGAGGGAAACCGGTGATACAGTTTTTTTTCGGATTCTTACAACAAATTTTACTCATTCACAGTCTCAGTGCGTTACCCGGCGTTTGTCGCGATGTTCTTGTAGTGGCTCGTGCTGGTGACCTTTGACTGCGCCCTATGCTATGGTGAGACTGGCGCATCCACCATTTCTCGAAATAGCTACTTTTGGAATACGATGCCATACGTGAAACAGTGAAGTGACCGAAGATGAAGATTTTTTATTTGACCGTTTTTGTTTTCTTGCTCAGCGTGGACGCGCAAAGGAGGTCCGTGGTAAGTAATACAGAATGATGATACAGGTGGTGCAGGAAATACAGCTTATTTATTTACAATCTAAGGAGATAAATTTGGTAACTTTTATGGTATATTCGTTTTTTTCGTTCTTTTTTAATCATGATTTCCAATCGAAATCAATAAAATTGTTATTATTCTTATTATTATTGGAATTGCAGAATTTTATCCATATGTTGGCGACTGTGTGATTAAAAACTTCAATGCCACCTGATTATTCACAGACTCTTTGGATACATTAATCTTCGAGTATTACTTTCACTGTTTTCAGGCAGTAATTATTAAACTGTCGGAAAATATTGAAAACAGTAAAAGTAAATAAACACCCAAAAGTTGATCATTTTTTTGTAATAGTTTTATAAAGGTGTCATTCAGTACGTAATACCTTTGGAAAAATAATAATTGAATTTTTAAAATTATAATATTTTTTGAAAAATCCAAAACTTTTTTTCACTAGTTTACATCTGATAACTATCTCTGAAGATGTTTGCTTAGCGCCATCATGATCTGACGTCATTGGTCTAATTTTGAAAATTTTTGAAAATACATAATATTAAAAAGGACAATACAACTGCACAGGGTAGTGTAAAAGAGCAAATGGTCTATATTTTATAAGTAAATCTGAAAATTTTTACAAATTCAGTAGTGTGTGAAACATAAATAAAACGCATTCTACAGGGAATAAAAATCATGAAAAATACATTAAAAAAAAAGAATGAATTTTTTGATATTTTAAACAGCTTATTATACAAATAATGGTTTCATAAATTTTTTTTGATATCCATTTTAGTTACGTAAAAGCAATTTTTTAGATGACCCCAGTAACACAAATGTTTGCAAAAATGTCAGGGTCGTATTCAGTTTTATGTAGTCTTTATTTAAGATAAGCATTCAAAAATCAAACATTTTCTATTTTGTTCCCCAAATATATTTTTGGTGAAAAATTGTTTCACACGGATTTTTCTCAAAATTTGTTCATATATTTTTTTAATTGTAGCGAGCCATATTTTACGCACACCTGTATAAAACTGGTTTTCATAAGTATTTTACCGTATGTATTCTGTATATTGCAAAAATTTGTGCGACAACGTTTCTGCTTATATTGTGTTCTTCTTCAGATCTAATAAGTCCAGGGTAATTTAATGAAAAGTCGAGGTCACATCTCGATAACAGTCTATAATTTTAAAGTATTTTAGATATTATTCAAAATTTTTAATAAATCTATAAATCTTACAACGAATTTTCCTTCAAAATGAGTTCCACGAATTTTACATACTTCAAATTATAAAAGAGAAATACTATTTGATCGAAAAAATATCCTTTAGTAGGCCATGAAATTTATTTTTAAACTGCGATTTTTAATTTTGCAAGCGGTTTTTCTAAGCATTTTAACGCTGATATTTCAAAATTTTTGTGACAACGTTTCTGCCTATATGTGTTCTTCTTCAGATCTAATAGTCAATTTACCTGTTTAATGCTATGAATGACACTATAGTGGGGGCCACATCTTAAAAGTATTTTAATATTTTAAAATTTTAAAGTGGTTTCAGCACTAGTTGTTTAGATATTATTAATATTTTTGATAAATCTATAAATTTCAAAACGATTTTTTTTTTAAATGAACTACATTCAACTTAAATATTTCTAATTTGAAACAAGAAATACCATATGATCGAAAAAAGTCCTCGAGTAGGCCATGAAATTTATTTTTAAAATAATCATGTTAACATTGGCCTTATTTGCCAATTGTTTGACCGTAATTGTCAAACCGAATAAGGAACGCATCGGTGTTGCCACATCATTATTTTAAAAATAAATTTCATGGCTCACTAGAGAACTATTTTCAAAGGTGCTATAAAAATACGGTGTTTGGCAGTTTGCACTGATTTTATTTTAAATTTCAATTATACAGGGTGAGTCATTAAGTGAGCGTTTCTTGATATCTTCGTAATTAAAAAGTAAAGTTCAACTATACAGAGTGTACTGTCTGTTTTTGAGATGTAATACACAACTTATTACTCATAAAAACAACACTTTATATATTTTTACAACTCAGATTAGAATCTTAATAAGTTTTAAAACCGTAGTTTATTTTTGAAATTCCGATGCGACGTTGCCACGTTATTCCAATTTTTCTGGATTTTTTTCAGTAATGCATTGGTTCGTAAAAAATCGCAATAAGGTTAATTTTAAAATATGTGTTATAATATACACAGTGTTCATAAAAAAATTAAAAATTATTACAATTTTCAAATATCCATATTTTACATATTTTTAAATAGTATACCCTGTATTTTATTATTGTGTATTAATCTGTTAAACATTTTCTTTCGGTTTCGTTAATTACTTTCTATATGTACCTAAAGTTAATAGTTTCTCTGATTTTTTACTTTTTTAAAAGACACACTGACATATCGAAACAAAGAGAACAAAAAATAGAATAAGATACAATAATAAAATACAAGGTGTTCTATTTGGAACAATAACATTTAAAACTAAAATAAAATATTGTAACATAGATTTTGAAAATAGTCCGACTGCGATTTTTTTTAACTATTGCATCGAAAAAAAAAGGAAATTGGAATAACGTGGCAACATCGCAACTCAATTTCAAAAATAAATCATCCGAGTATGTCAAAATATATAGTATGTTCTATTTACAAAAAAGGTAAGTAGGATGATGTGTCGAAAAAACACAAAATAATTTGAGTTATGGTACTTAAAGAACCATATAACTGTATGATATCAAGGTGCCCCCCGTGTTTCACCCTGTATATTAGTTTACGTTTTGCTGAATGTAACTTGAGTATAAAAAGGCTGCGTTTGAAATAATGAAGTTCAGATTATTTTAGCATTATTAAGAGTTAAGTTTTTTAGAAATTTCTTCAAGTTTTTAGACAAAAATTTTGATACTAAAGCGGCTTCGTCCTCGGTGGACAATTTTTTTGTTTCAAAACATACTAATTTTTATTTAGAAATAAGTCGGATATAAATAAAAGGAGTTTTCAAGAAAAAATTGGTCGAAAGCTGTTTGTCAAAATCAGTCTTATCTTACCAAGTACTAGCCCCGCCCACCCGCCCTTTATTTTTTCAGAGGGTAGCGCTTGCTAGTACTTGCTAAGATAAGTCTTATTTTGGCAAATGACATGCTCTGAGACAATAGGGGTGGGTGGGCGGGGCTAGTACTTGCTCAGATGAAACTGATTTTGGCAAACGCCATACCTTCTGACAAAATACAAGGCGGGTGGGCGGGCCTAGTATTTGTTAAGATAAGACTGATTTTGGCAAATGCCATAAACTTTGAGAAATTAGGGGGCGGGTGGGCGGTGCTAGAACTTGCTAAGGTAAGACTGATTTTGCCCCTATTAAACTTATAATTGGATATTTATTTTTTAACAACTCAGTCATTAATTTTTCTGAGAAACCCTGTATAAGCAAATTTAAAAAATATTAATTATTTTCATTAATTTTTGTGAGTCACCCTGTTTAAGCAAATTTAAATGCAGTGATAGCAAATATGATTTGATAAAAAATGTGTCATGCTTACCATAAATTTAAAATCTGCAAGATTTCAAAGCATTCAGTTTGGAAACTTCAAAATTAAATTGCAAAATGTTGTTTTAAAGTTTTGATTTTTTTCAAAAATCTTGACGTTTTGGGTAAAAATTCAACACGGAGTCAAAAATTACATGTGTAGGACTATGTTATTTTAGACAATTAAAAACCCATTTTCTATGTACAATTTTGAAGTGACTTCATCATATTATGGGTGGCGATGATTAGACAAATTTTGGAAAAACCTGACTACGATTTATCTGTATATCCCCACTAAAAATATGATGACGTCATCCTAAAATCTTGCTAAAAATCCTACGTAAAATTTCAAATTAATATAGTTTGACACATTTGCCTTTTTATCTTCATTTTTACGTGATGTTATTATAATCACATAAAATAGACAAAATCGAAATTTTAGCCCAACTTTGCCAAAGGCTACTGGCTAAATTTCATAGTACTTTTTTAATTTCAAAAATCACTCTTTATACATCGGCAGTGTTCTTTAGAAATTTCTGAGCAGATTTTTGTATTACTTTAAATAAAAATTGCACACAATGTGTATGCAGCGACCATAAAACGAGTGATTTATTCACTCGTACTGCTTAACTCGGCCTTTATCCTCGTTGGGCAACTTTCACGACTCGTAATTAACTCGGATTTTAGAACTTGTACGTACCACATATATTTACTTTACGCGAAAAATAAATAAATCAGCCATAAACGGACTCACGTAACCAACAACCAAAAAACTTTTATCGCTCAAAACGCTGCCTAATTTTTTGCAACTCTCGCCCGATTTTCTAAAATTGCGAAAAAATTCCGTATGCAACGCTAGTAAAAGGAGCGTTTTCTAGTCTCGTCGTATTGTCCGACTCGGTTTTCGTCTAGGTTGCGCAACCATCGCGGAAGACACCAGGTTCCATTATTAAAAAATTCAAAAACGTGTTCCTGTTCATACTGCATTTACATCGGCAAATATTAGATAATCGACACGAGCCAAACCCCCAGTGCATTATTTAATTAACGCAAATGTAAACACGGAATGTGGGGGCATCCCCTACCCGTGTTCACTCACACAGCCGAAAATTTTTGTTTGTTTTGGTGCGAAGTACTCTTACGTCAACTTTCACCGCTTATTTGGATGCAAGAGTAACTAACTTACCATAATTCTGTGCAACTGGCCGTAGACAAAATGCGTTGATGGTAAATTGAGTTTCTCGTTTTGTGTATTATAAAACAATATGACATGCCTATAAACTTTCAATCTATAATTTCTAATAGCTTAAATTTCACTTTCGTTTGACATTTTAAGACATGGAGGTTCTTTGAACTTGTCCACTTACTTAACGCTGATTTATTAAATTGCGGCCTTTTAGTCAAGGTTCTGTTTTTGAAACGTCTAGGTCGCTCCGCGTTACTAAAAG